CTAACAAACTCATCAGTAGTGTCTTCTTTTTGAGTTGATTGTCTGTGGATAAATTGGTTAGCGACACCGATTTCATGAACACGCAAACCAATCAAGAGTCACTGGTGGATGGCTGTGAGTTTTTTCTGCATGGCGCGTAACACTGGATTGTCAGTCAAGAACCGTCAAAGTAACCAGCGTCAAAGATGGAGTGTTGCACGGCTTTTTAGACCATAGCAGACCTGGGGTTCAACATCCCCTCAGTGTTTGTAATTGTCTACATCTAACTCGTTGGGTAGTCACGAAAACGTTGGATTCAAATTTGTGCGCCCCTTGTAATTCTAAGCACATTCAGACACCTAATGATCTTCCAGTTGTGTAAAATGAATCGGAGTATTAGAGTTGCCACGCTGTGTCACAAAATTGACTTGACTACGAATGAACTATGGCAAAAGGAATTTAACGGAATTACGTGGAAACTCTCGATCTTGAAGAACTTGGTCAGTGTCTAGACGAAATACACTGCTCATAAGGTCGTTGCAAATCTTTCGACAGCCCATAACCGGTTCCGCCCTTCTTGAGGCTCATAAACGAGAGATTCAGATGGGTTCCGGATGAGTCCCTCGAAAAACCGAATTGATCTGCTTAAATTGTACTTTGCTTAATTCGTGCAATTTGGTCTCAAGTAGAACATAAGATTGATGGAAACCCAGGGACTGCGCCTACCTGATGGGCTCCAGGAAGAGCGAAACCGGTCGTGGGCTGTCAAGGAATTTTCAGCAACCTTATGAGTAGTGTATCACGTCTATATATGTATCGCGATATCTCGAATATCGTAACAACTAAAACATGAGGCTGCCTGGTGCAGCACATTCAGTTGCTTGAGAACATCATAAGCGAGAGATTCAGCTGGGTTCCAGGTGAGTCTCTCGAAAGAACAAATTTGTTTGCAAATGAGTGTATTTCGCTGGTCGGTGTCTGCTCCTGTTTGTGTGAACCATCCATAGGATCAACTCGAGTTGCAGGACATTCAAAACATTGTGTCCCTTTCTGTCCAAATCAGTGACACATTGATGTTCCTTTTATCGTCATTAGTTCTGGCTGACGTACCAAAATCTCTTCATACTATCAACAAATTGTGGAACAAACACTTGATGCTTGTGTGAAGTCGGTTACCTGATCGGTGGCACGCATTTCGTAACTGTTGTATATAATTGGGGTTTCCGAATAAGGCCTGAAAGCAATCGGGGTCAAGTAGGTGATTCAGACTGATGGCTGCGCAGTTTGGATCGGCCTCCGTGAATCGACCCCGACATCAACCGAGTTAGCCATCTAAGAGTAAACCCTAACACTCGAAATGATAGAAGTCGAACTGTTGTGTCAAGGTGCACGTCTCTGAAACTGCACTTGGACCGGCAGACAACATGGGAGGTAGAAAGAGTGGATCAACTGTTTACTGGTCTGTGCAGTGGAAGTTTCTAGCAGTGAATCTGGTGGTGAGATGCACTCTGCGGCGGCATAAAGGCGATTTCGAGTCTATGTCAATTTATGCCTGAACTAACTGACCACCCCTAATCGTAAGGCCAGGAATATATTTCTCTATTCCTCTTACTCCTTAACTGCGAGGTAGGTTTCTCTAGGATTACTGTGAATCGTAATGAAACGGTCGAGGTATCCAGTTGCCAGTGGATTGTTCGTTACAGGGTATTCGGAAAAAAGACCGGTGCGTGAAAACTATAAATGTACAGACAAGACCAATCTGATCAGTTTTGCGTAAGAATTGCAAGTCATATTTTCACACAGAAAACTACCTCAAGGTTGCTACCCCCTCCCCGACAGCCCACGACCGTTTTCACCCTTCTTGTGGTTAACAGGTAGGCGCAGTCCCCGAATTTCCGTCTGCAGTATCCTCTGCAGGTTCTGCTGATATTCTTGGAATTCGATCACACTTTTGTTGTGAGCATCCGCTTGGATTCATTGTTCACTGTTTGCTGCTTGTCACTCCCTGGCTAGGATTGGAAACGAGGAGGACGATAACCAGCTCAGTCGCGCAACATCTAGCAGACACGGTACACAACGTGATACCCAACCAAGACTTCTGGTGTTGCCAAAAAGGCACCTGTTAATCAGCCCAGATCAGTACAGCAACGCACAAGCGCAATGGCTGGAGCCATCGCCATACGACATCACGAGCCAATCCTTTGTCACTTTGTTCGTGTGTAGTACTTGCTTCAGTCCAACTAACCTCCCCCCACCCTGCGCTGAACACAATCACAACGCTATCCGCGCTGATAAGCTCAAACAATCTTATTGGTGGCCAATGTTGTCTCTCACTCGATTTCCTCACCATGCTCCTTCAAATATGTTAAATACTACTCTCTCTCTCTCTCTCAGCCTCTGCAAATGTATGGCTTGAAAAGACCTTGCCGAAAGCATGTTCATCAATCCATCTTATTTTAAAAGGGGTTTTCGGAATAATGCGTACTATTTCCCATAAATCGTTAACTGGTCAGATCCTCACTCGGACACTTCACCAGTGGACACACTCACATAACATTTTATAGAAGGAGTTTCTCCTCCACATTTCATACACAATGGAAGACCAAACCCAAATACTAGCAAACGATCAAATCGTCCAAGATAGTTCCAGCTGATCCGCATGGCGGTAATATGCATCAGTCACCAGCTAAGTCCATCAGCAATTCTGAAGTACGTCGAATGGTATTCGGAAGAAATAACTCACCCTCGATAGATGAACTGATCACACTGCATAGGTTGCACTGGCTTGGCAACGTGTTGCGTATGCCAGTCGACCGACTTCCTCGAAGGGCTCTTTTCGCACAACCACATGAAGGGTGGAAGAGATCTAGAGGCGGTCAAACAATGACTTGGCAGCGAAGTATGAAAGCCATTACCAGCAAACTCAGCTGCGCTGGTCACTGCCGTCTTCCTGGATGGGGACCCCGAGACGGGCCACATCAATGGCTACAGCTGTATGCGTACAAACCCAGTGAGCCTTATGGCTACACTGTCCGGTTTTTTTTATGCTGATGAAAAGTGCCAGGAACTATGTATACATTGTTCTACTTTGTACCACGCAGACCTGGTGAGGACTTTGTCCTTTGCTGTAATTTTTTCCAAAAGAAAAACGTTGTTGTCAAATCATCGGTGAACGAAACTGCGGCAACTACAACCAGTGTACGACGAGTACGCGGTTCTTACAGCTGACAATGATGATGATGATGATGAATACTAGGCTATCTGTTCGAAAACCATTTCAAGCCAATTACTGACAGCTTGATGCCTATTCAAGTTATTTCCTAGCCATCTGTCATGACCACCAGAAGCTGCTAAAACATATCTAGTACAGCCCCACACATTTTGGTCGCACCTTTCAGTTAGATTTTCATTGTTTTCTCTTCACACTTCAGTTTCACTCATCTAGTCAAAAATGCCTTATGCACAACCGGTGAACTTTTTGGTCCAAAAGCGGAAACTGCTCATGTTTTCAAAGAGCGAATGCAGCGTCATGAGTGCTGCTACAACAAAAAGTTCATCAAAAAATAAGTACGTCAACATGTCCTTGGGCATGTCACCCACATCAACGGGACACTCTGTTCTCAGTTAACCAGCGCGTTACTTGTATCTGGATTATCTGTTGTTCATGTAACCGCATGGGATACATGAATTTAGGACAGTTCCTCAAATAAGACAACCAAGGTAAAGGCTAACTGCGATTGCTCAGATAAGCTTTCAAGGGCGCGGATCAAGTGGCTACATTGTACACCAAACGTAAGCTGGCAAGCTTGAACAGTCTATGTGTTTCATGAAGGAAACTACTCCCAAGGTTACTGAAAATTCTTCGACAGCCCACGACCGGTTTCGCCCTTCTTGGGGCTCATCAGGTAGGCGCAGTCTCCGAGGTTCCGTCAACCTTATGTTCTACTTGAACCCAAATTCGACTGTTTTCGAGAAATACACTCATTTGCAAACCAATTTGGTTTTCACGAGAGACAGCTGAATCTCTCGTTTATGATATTCTACAGTCTAGTTTGTTGCTACAACGCTGGTTTGTGCAGGACTCTTCTTTTCTCGACAAGGATGGTTCTTTACGAGAGACATTGAATCTCTCGTTTATGATATTCTACAGTCTAGTTTGTTGCTACAACGCTGGTTTGTGCAGGACTCTTCTTTTCTCGACAAGGATGGTTCTTTTTGCAAACGGAACTGAGACTCGGGGCTCCGTGTCATTTATGAAGGTAATGGAAGGATGAATGAAAACGTCTAAGAGTTAACATTAACAGAAGAATTGCCATGCACAAGTCTAAATATCAAATCAAGAAGTACTCCTTACTTTCTGTCAGGGAAAAGAAAATTATTGGTTATTACAATCGGTTGCCTATAATAGGTTGTTTTTTTCGTGAATTTAGGAGCGGTTAGAACCACATATGAATTTGCCCACGCACTACGTGTGTTTCTAATAGCCCCCGATTTCCAGGTCCATTGTTGAAATTTCCAAAATGGATACAAACAAAACAAACTTACTTTTTGATGGAAGCGTCCGGAGAGAGTGAGGTTGGTGTGATTCCATGTTATCCAAAGGCCTCTCTTCGGTCACTACACCACGAATGAGAAGCTTACCGTCTATGCGTTCCTGTGTAAACGTGCAACGTGGAGGAGACTTATCTGCCCGACGTAAGCGACGTAAACGCACAACCTCATCGAAACAACGTCGACCGAGTTCGGACGCAAATGGGTACCATGACGTCGCCGATGTGGGCTCAACCGATCCAGCAGGTCGATAGCCAAGAGGGGGTGGCAGAGCTGGCTTCCAACATGTATCCGTATCAGTCACAAAACGCCGCTGAGTACTATCGGAGTCCTGAAACGGTGAAAATAATCACCTCAGCGGAATACAAATTTTTGTGCCTCTGGGATTCTCGAGCGGAGGAATTTAAACAACAGGCATCGGGCTCTGATAAGTATCGGGCCTACGAGAATCAAATTTGAAGATTTAAATTATGAATACACGATGTAGTCAGTTGCCCGTAAGTGGTCTACACACACCAGTGATCCAGCCACATCCAACTAATGGATCTCAGTCGAGCCGACTACTCCTCAGGACCAGTCCGATCTTGCTGGTTTCAAGGAATACATTACAAATGGCTACTGGGCGAACGGAGTATCTTTGGGGTTGGATTTTCCGAGGGATAAATTTGTGCGAACTGTAACTGAGCTTATCAAGGGGGTCCGAGTAAATGAATTTGCTTCTGGGTTCCATTTAGAATGTCTCCAAAGATGTGCCGTTTTGTTGCACAGTGGTGTGTAACACAACTGGTCAGTAGTCAGTCAAATTAAGAAATCCTCCCCTAAGATCCCGTAAGATGATCCCTCTTAAAATTATGATAAAAAAACAAAATCGTAAATCCGTAATTCGAAAGAGCTGATAGGTACGATGGGTGCCCCCGCACAATCATCACAGGGCGGAAAACGATCGCAGCTACCTGAGTTTTGACCGCAGAGTGAGCGATGATTGAAATAAAATGGCCATCTTTCGGGTGCAGATCAATGTCACAACTTATATAGTGAAGAAAGTTGGTTGCTGGTAGTTACCGTTAGTTATTCGTACCCTCCGCATCTTGATGGCAGTTCATTTTCAGTTCTTACGACTCACTAGATGAGAGCTCGCGATGGCGAAAACTGGTATCGTTGTTAACAAGCTGTTAGCACTCATTTAAAAACTGGTTTGGTCTTCGTCAGGAAGGTGAGATTCCTGAAACTAACCCCCAGAATGCCTGGAACCTACTGAGACCCTAAAACTCCACCAAAATCTCCAATGGGAAGCCGGTATGCATCCAGACCAGTCGATCGATGAATCAATTCAGTAAAGCTGAAGAGTGTTCAGGCACGCCACAAAAACACGGCGGACCACGATAAGTGTTCAGACGTCTCATAGAAGCACGATCGACGTTAATGGGTGTTCACAAAATGCAGATCAGACAGCCTGGATCAATGTCAAAAAGTGCCGTTGTAAATTTTGCACTCGCCTGTTCCAATAAAACTGTTGTGTTCCTTGTCGGCGTCTTTTTTCAGGCACTGGAGCACTGGATTGGGGACAGTAATCAGATATAACAGACTCAGCTAATCTCCCGCTAGCTTTTGGAGAGCTGTCAGCAACTTTATGAGTATTGTGTTCCGTCAAGGAAAAAAATTTGCTTCATAGTCTGGATGAGATGACCCATTTCAATGTGACTATCGCTCAGGTTCTAGAGGTTCGACTTTACCTCGTTGATATCTCTCACGCCAGAACATTGTTCCACCGTTTCGTTCTATTCATGCTGTTATTGTCTTTTGCTGTTGCCGACAGAGTGTAAGCCCTTGGTAACAAATGGCCACAAACTCATCTGACCACCTCACTGGTGAAATTAAGTTTTGGGCTTTTTCCCGCACGACTTGAATTTCAGTGTGCGTGGTTTCAAAATTCAAAACAGCAGTTCATATTGTGGGAGTTTCATGGATCGTGTGAAAAAGTCATGTGACTTTGTCTCGGAGTGTACTACCTGGTCAGAATTCACGATAAATTTGCTCTTGAGGTCCAGCCAAAAAGAAGGAATTATACTACTGGCTTTTGGAACTGAAATGTTGGCGGGTCAATTTGGGGTGGCTAGATTTCTTGAATGACTCCGGTAACTCTGAACTTGATATATAGGACGCTACAGATCGGGGCAGCATTCAGAGGGTGTCCAGTGACTAGTAGACATGCTAAACCCGAATAGGAGCGGCACACTGTTACCCTAAATGGAATTTCATAGAAGATTGTTCAGGGAATCCGTTCCTTCAAAGAAAAATAATACAATTATGAATACACATATCGAGCGGGCAAGATGGTCCAAGTGGTTAGAGCGCGAATTTACTAACCGGAAGGTCCGTGGTTCGAACCCGACCTCTGCCTCTAGACTTTTCCTGTCTAGGTTCGGGCGACCCGGCAGTATCCCAGCCCTCGTGCAACCTTCGGGTGGCATGGCAGCTAGGCACCGAAAGGGTGCTACAGCTGAACGGTTTACACATATCGAGCTAGCACGGTCTAAGCAGTTGCTACGTATTTATCATAGGAGAATACTCCGAATGATGGATGTCAGCTCATGCGTCGTCCACTTTGCCTGTTTGATTAGGCTACAAATGGCCTGAAATACGGACAATCTATGAGATAAATTGCGCCTTCGGCAAGTCATGGACACGCGGCTGTTGAAGTTGACACACTACCGTCCGTCCAGTAACTTATGCAACTAAAGTCGAAGATGCTTAGTGTATGATAAACAATGGAGAGACAATACCATAATGGATCGATTCACGGGCGGGATCCGACGACTTCTATTGTTGATGTAGTTGAGAACCAAGCGAACGCCCTGGATGGCATGAAAATTAGGAAAGCCGAGGAAGCAAGGAGACTGGGGAGCAGACTAGTCACATTGAGAAACGCCTTATCCGTGAAAGGGTAACGAAACGGAGCTAATTCTCCAACTTGGATCATAGATTCTCAAGCGGATAGCAGTTAAGTGTTCGGGTGATGACAGCCTAGTGAACTTGAGCATCAGGATGGAGTAGGATTATGGAGAACGGCTATTGAATAAGCCGTGAGAAGCCTTGGAATGCAGTGCATTGCAATGCTGAAAAACAAGCGAGTCATTTGGAGAGGTCTGATTGTCTCTCGACGATGTAGACTTGTGCAATATGCGGACGTACGTATCTATGCATAATCGACCCTGAGGGTCTTCAGTGTACTCGTCCGTCCACCTCATAAAATTGTCCCGTTTTCTAATGACTATCCAGCCGATAGTATCACCATAAGTCTGACAACACCACTGATAACATGGCTATCATTGCTTCATAGGCGGTGTGTTAGCTGGCAGATCCTGGTAATTGTGATATACTGGGAGGAATCGACGGATGATACAGAGTCCTCAGTTTCAAAAACTTATCCATTGTAGTGCACCATGCTTAGACCGGATGAGGGCTTACAACATGCCTGTTCGTCCGCCCAACCTATTCCTTCGGATTTACTCCAGCGTCAAAGACTTGAGTGCAGCAGTGCGCAAACCGTTCGTGGCTACTTCGAATACGCAGGCGTCCGACAGTTGACCGACGAGTCCACTTCGGATTCATACCAAAGAATATAGTGATGTTTGGATATTATGTTCCGTCAGGAAGAACAATGACTCCTTGAACCTCAATAACTTAGTTGTTGCGTGCGAAAGTTGCACTGAAGAATTTGAAAGAAGGAAAAGCTGTAGAGATCATCATCACGTGTTCGTGCCTGATGGCAAAGACGGCTGAGTAATTCAGCAAGACGAATCCAGCTGTTAGGAGAAAAAACTCATCAGTAGACGAGCACCGAAGAAGGGAGTGATGTTTGGACATTATGTTCTCTCAAGGAGAACCTCGATAACTTAGCTGTTGCGTATGAGAGTCGCGCTGAGGTATTTGACAGAAAGTTAGAAAAGCCGTAGAGATCATCACGTGTTTCTGCCTGATGGCAATGACCGTAAGGAACATGATGACAGTTGGATCAGCTGAGTAATTCAGCGAGACGAATCCAGCTGTTAGGAGGAAAAACCCATCAGTAGACGAGCATTGATTGTGGTGGCTGGATATCATAAAGTACTGGGAGTCTTTGAAAGGGGACTCCAATCAAAACCAACACTGTTACCGAGCTTCTAAAGCACCCTTTTCTGTGAAACACACATCTTGGGCCATCCGTGTCATTATTCACATGGTCTTGCACAAAATTCAGTGAGCCAATTATGTGTGGAGGCCACCAAATCATGCAAGTTGTTTGTCACATGCTATCTGAAAAGAAACGACTACGCTGGGAATTCGATCACGCAGTTCCCTATTTCCTATAGACTAGTATGAGATCCTTTTGAATGAAATATAGCCCTACCCCAAGAGTGAAGTTCAAGTGACGGTTGAACCAATGGACACTTCCCAATTACTGACTGTAGTTCGGAAGACGTATGGCGCGAAGTCGTTATAACACAGTCCCGTTGTTCTCTCTCCTTCTTCAAACTAACATGGAAAGTAGTTCAAGAGTGTCTAGTCTAAAAGAGAGAAATAGACAAGCGCCGAGCTCACGCAACATTGGAACTACCCCTCGGACAAAAGCCTTTAGCTATCCTTTCGAGGCGTTTTTCTTCATACATCTGATACAAACGCCAATAGCTAGGAAGGAGACCATAGTACAGCGCTAGTTCTCGAATCGAGAGAAACAAAACGAAAACTCTTTTTGACTCAAACCAAACCGTCTTGCAACAGAAGGTCTCTACTGTGCATTTTTGCTCGACTTGAGATAGGAGGTTCGTAGGACACTACTTGCTCGGAATTTTTGCACTGGGTTTGCCAGAAGATGAGCTGGAAAAAACTGGAACCTTACAAGAGTTCTACAAATCACTTGACAGCCCATGATCGCTTTTGGTAGTTGTAGTACCCGAGTTTCCGTAAACGTTATGTTCAAATCGCGTGCACTTGATATCTATTCGCACTCCACTTCGACGTTACAGGAGAACTCAGCTGAATCGGAAGATCAAGTGGCAAACGTGTCGCGAACCATCTCTTGGAAGGGATCATTTTCTGATCAGTGGTCTGTCCGGAGTGGGACAGCTACATATCCAAGAGGACAACCAAGAACAGCCCTTTCTGAGGTGATCCTTCAAGAGAAAAGGATCGTCTGTTTTAGAATAATCCGCAGAAGGAAATCATATCGAAGTACCACGATTGAGTAGAACAGTGACAAGAGGCGAATTATGATCGGTGTACCCTTCCCGGTACTCTACGCAGACCGTCCCTCAAGTAACTTCTTATGGTTGGTCACCTGACCAATTTAGGAGAGGTCACTATCAATCGTGCCCCTGCGGTAGTCCCCCCGAGACAGAAGGGATCTGAAGTCAGAATTATATCTTGAAGCTTTCAGCTAACTCGGTTAGAAAGATGACCAGTTGGCTTCGCCAACAAGAAAAGTCGATGGAAGAACCGTGCACTGGTCCTTATTAGGAGGAGAGACTGGAGAGCCACGTAGGTAGTATTGTTTTCCAAAAAAAACACCAATCCCAACCCGACTACTAGCGAAATTGGTCTTAATTTTGATTGTCACAGTCCTCAGTTGTGCTCATTTTCACTACAACCCTAATAAGCCATTATTCCAAGACTTCGGTGAGGCGCTGATCTACACAAACATCCCGAATCAGACTATTTGTTTCGTTTCCGCACGATTTCCTTTCTCGTCTCAGTTTACTTCACATCAACACTACCATTTGTCCCTGACTTGATATCGATTACGAGCCGGACGGAATTGATGTGAGACGGCAGAATAAATCTAATTACTGGATTTGAAAACAAGATTGGATATAAATAGCTCAGAAAGATAAGATATTCAAACAAGGAACAGGGTTAACTCTCCAGCGAACAACGTGTGTGTGTGTACTTATAGACTGTCTGGATTAACGAGGAGCTTGATTATTCATAACGATAATCAAATTAATTCAAGACTTCTACCACCAATTTTTATGTGTACTCCTCTGTATGCTCGTGCCGAGCATCATACGTTGGTCGTACGACAATACATTTGTCGGACAGAATACGGGAACACAATCCCGTATCACTGAGTGGTAGTTGGAAAAAACCAGGCTCAAGTGCGATTGCATCACATTTGGCCAAAACCAATCACATCATCGACAAGCGTTCACTATCATGTAACAGGTGCATCTGAACCGATCACGACTGGTACAATCCAGACTGCTATCGATCGCAGAGGCGATTGGCATCCGATTGCTTGATTCACGATTTTGCTTCCAAAAAAGACTTGTGCGACCTCTGAACTTGAACTCGTTTGCGAAAAATCGGGTCCCACAATTCTGTTTGACATTGACGTTACTTACCTGATTCCGTGACCCATTGACCTACCCCTCATTCAACCCCTCTTTGAGTTCTACTTCTCTTTTCACGTGATTTCTGGTACCATATAAATTCGTAATGTATTACCCAAGAGGAACAATCACAGAAAACAAGCTTTGTTCACTACCCTCATTGTTCTCATGAAGTAAAATCGACGGATTGATAGTGGAACAGGATTGGAGATTGGTCATCTCTAATGACTCAGCTGCCGGCTGGACTGTAGTTAATCTCCCATGCATTCTCACTATAACAGCGGCCCAAATCCAAGTTATTTGAAAATGTTTGTAACCTTTACTCTGACTGTCGCCAACACAAGTCACGAACTATTGGGACAACGCCCACAATTTCGGAAAGTTACCTGTATTGGGACGGATGGGAAACTCACACCAGTCGTACGACCATTGTATAGCCCTGGACTGCACGGATGCCAGCGCTGATGAGAGACTTGTCTCCGATATTTCTTGTTCTGTGTCAACCAAACACACTTGTCACTTTCCTGCTCACCACCAGAATATCCTAAACATAAGTTTTATTTTTAAATTAAAATCAGTTATCGGGGATAGCCTACTTTCCCATGGAATTTGTTCCAAGGAGTATGGAAACCAGCGATTGCACCAGTGTAAGGTATAAACACAACGTTGTTTTTGACTCCACATACAGTAAAACATGCCTAAATAGTTTGGATACTGATACTCTGCTAACTTGTGTCCAGAGTACAAATCTAGTAAGTTCAGCAACATATTCAATCACATACCTGTCTTAAAATCAGTGACGCTTATGCAATCTCGATGATAAATTCTGTAGCGTGGTCCAGCAGTCGGGAATGGAGTGCAGTTTAACCACCTGTATTGCTTATACCAGTGTCTTACGGGCTTGATGTTCTATATGAAGGGAGGTGAGTCGGCTTCACTTCAATGATCGCGGACGGGCTGAACAACTTTTCAGGAGCAACGCAAGTTCTTTTATTCTTCAGGAACAACTGGAGCCAGCGCTCGGAAACCAGTCCGATCGCCCAGGTTTTCTTGTTGAATTCATGGGTTGCCTGGACTGTTGGCTCACCAAAGACAATACAAGCTTTTCAACCGTCCTACTGAAGCAGACAACTGTCGTTACATATACAACCACACACCCGGGTTAGTTGGTTTGTCTGGAATGAAGACTTTCATGATTTCATAGTGTCCCGTTGGGATAGAGGCACTAGCTGTCCGAACTCGTGGTGTTTTGACACCACATTATCCAGCCTGTCTGAAAAATCGAAATCCCTATTTCAAAATCGTTAAACCAGATGTCAGCATCACCGCAAAGTAGAGATAAGTCGTGTGTGAAGTATGAATTCGCACGGTTTCCGGACAATCAGTGCATGTGATACATCGGATAATGTATTTGAACGGAGTAGCGAAATTTTAGATATAGGGGTCTTTCTTCTGATGGATACCGCACGTGTCTTTCGGGGGATGATGCGATGCATCCCCCGGCCTCTACTCAGGGGGGGCTATTCTAGGGGATATTGGTTTTCGACAGTTTACACCAGCATGCTTTTGGGAAGTTTTCCAACGATTCTACTGTTAGCATATTACGTATGGATTGGGAGATAGTGATGTCACACACTGATAATAACGGTGATAATCTGGAATGTTTGAGAACCGGTAGCCTATGAATGTAACGATTGTGTTAATCAGCTGAACTTCGAATTTTGCTGCGTTTTTCATGTTGGATTTAACCTTTTGCTTCTACACGCGTCATCACGTCCACATTCAAGTAGGCTAGCAAAGTGAGTTTCGATCCAGTGAAAAACTCTTGCAACCGACTGAGTAGTCAGCATTTTCGGAAAAGTATGGTAACAATCGGTAGATTTGTTGCCGCGCTACGTTTCGCTTTTGTCACAAAAGCTTCGTCGGGCCAAGTGACTAGGTCACGAAGTTGATCGGGACTTAAGGTTGAAGGACAACCAATCAGCTAAGTCAAGCTAAATTTCCGTTAGGTGTCGGCCCGGGGGATTTGGTGTATTAGGATGGGTAACCAAGCGTTAGACCGATGAGGAAACCTATATGGATTTGGGTCCGGCCTATTTCTTCTGGTTCGGTTCAAGAGCAAAACGACGCCCAGCAAAGAAAATCGTTCAAATGTAACATACTTCCGGTGCCTAGCTGCCATGCTACACGAAGGAGGCACAAGGACTGGGATACTGTCAGGTCGCCCAAGCCTAGACAGGGGGAGTCGAGAGGCAGAGGCCGGGTTCGAACCACGGATCTTCCAGTCAGTAAATTCGCGCTCTAACCACTTGGTTCATCTCGCCCCCGTTGCGGATCAAAACCCATCGTATTTGGAAAAGTTTGGCGACAGTCGGTTGATTTGTTGCCCAGAATAAATCTACCGATTGTTACCAAGCATTTTCGAAAACGATGGGTTTTGATCCGTTTACTTTACGGATGTACCTCTTTCAGGACAATAGCCTCTCTTTAGAGAGGATGTGTGATTGAGGGAATATTTCAGCACTTAAGGTTGATATATCTGAAACTTCGAAACAGCGTTGAAAACAAACCCTTGTATACTGCGGGTTGGAATATGCCTATTTTGTGCCTTAATGTAAAGAAACCCAAAATACGAATTTCGCATCATCGTCTTTGCTGGGAGGGAACACTGCTTTCGGTGAAAAGTTGGGTGGTATTTTTGGGTCTCCGAATGGTCTTTCGATCAAAAAGCCTCACCGGACCGGAGTAAGGTGGCCTTGGTTGGGAGTGGCCTCTCCTGGGGCAGAGTTTATCGGGTGAACATCTGTGAGCCAGCTACGAAAATTTGGTCACAACCGACATAGTCATGGGAAACAAACAGTTGGAGTGGATCCAATCCACGAAAGCGACAACATTAGCTGACAAGTGCGCCGCAAAGGCCACACAACAGGCCATAGCATGGGCAGTCAAACGGAATCTTTGACTAGTCATCCAATGAAAAGAGTGACCGGGTATTTATCGCCTGTCCTTACCGGGACCAAAGCGGCGGAATTAGTTGGATAACCGTTACCTCAGTGAAAGATACAAAAACGATCCGACCACTGGGAACTCGACAGCCCATGATCAGCTTCGCCCTTCTTCAGGCTCATCAGTCCATCAGTCAGCCTGGTTGAAACAAAATTGTATGGAATGCGCAAAATACACTCATTTGTACACCAACCTGCTTTGAACTGGAGACTCGACTGAATCGCTATGCTATTCTTCAAATGAATGTGCTGCACTGGAGACTCGACTGGATCGCTCGTTTATGCTATTCTTCAAATGAATGTGCTGCACAAAGGCCACCTCCTGTTCATGATATCACACTATAAAAAACCGTTCAACTGGAACAGACTTCCGGTTCCTAGCTGACATGCCACCAGAAAAAATCTCGGGTTGTGGGATATTACCAGGTTGCTCAAGCCAAGACAGGAGTTGAGACTGGGTTTGGTCCACGGACCTTCCGGTCAGTAAGTCTGCGCATCAACCACTGAGCTATCTCGAACTCCATGACCTCGAAGATATGCGGAAAAAATACATTGTTCATTTAGGATATTGGATCGAGACAATACAAGTAACGCTGGCGCCAGGCGGAATCCTAGGCAAAGACCACTTTGCCCCCTGTGATTATGTACTGGTGTGCAAATGAACGTATTTCGCGCATTCGGTCACTGTTTATGTTACTTATCTACCCGTGCGATGACCCTTGAAGCCCGTTTGTCAGTGACCTCGGTTCAATCCGACTGATTGCTGACTTTTTAAGTTTTCACGCGAACTGCGACTAAGCTTTCATGGCCGACCTAGATAGTTGTAAAATGCAAATGAGTCTATTTCGCATATTTTGTGCGATTTGGTTTCAAGCAGAACACAAGGTTGACGGAAACTCGGGGACTGCGCCTACCTGATGAGCCCCAAAAAGCGCGAAACCGATCGTGGGCTATCGAAAAATTTCCACAACCTTATGAGTAGTGCGTTACGAATGTAGCTGTATCGCGATATCTCGAATATCGTACCAACTGAAACATGGGGCGGCCTGGTGCACCACATTCAGTTGCCTGAAAACATCAAGAACGAGAGATTCAGCCGAATTTCAGGAAAACCGAATCAGTTTGCAAACGAGTGAGCATATTTCGCTACTTGTAAAATTGTTGTGAATGTCCTTGTTGTAATTTATTCTTCCTTCGCATCCCGTCATTCGTCAGGTCTCTGGATAGTAGTTCAAACGCTCTACCATTCGCCTATTGAAGGCTGATCGACAGTGTGACCTAATTGTGGCTCTTTATGCAGCCACGTAGTTTGTGTTAGGCCCTCTGGTGACAAATATAATATTTTAAGTAAACATTCGAAGCATACGCCTCTCCTTCACGTGCTCATGTGAATAACACTAGAATAAACACGCCTCCACGTGAAGGCAACCGCTCACAAGGTTGCCGAAATCTTTTCGAACGCCCACGACCCGTTCCGCATTTCTTGAGGCTAGATGGAGACCCAACGTTTCCGCAAATCCGTTAAAACTAAATTGGTGTATAAACGAGCGTAATTCGTGAAGCGCGTCTTTACATTTATGATTAAACCAGTTTTCGAAAGATAAATAAATCATTAAAATAACCATTCAGTTCTAAAACCCTTTCGGTACCCAGCTGGGATGACATCCCAAGGAAGCACGAGGGCTGAGACATCGCCGAGTCATCAGGTTTAGACAGGAGCAGAGGTTGTGTTCGAGTCACGGACCTTCCGGTCAGTAAGTTCGCGCTTTAACCACTGAGCCATCTCGAGTTCTTTCAGCTTCTAATGAAAGTACCTCCAAGGTAGTCGCATGAATCCAAAGAAAATCTGAAGCACGTTTTTCCTCCTTGATTTGTTTCGACTTTACAGCCAGGACCGTATGTGCAACCCACCCCTTGGTCTTGCGACTGGTTGGCGGGAAGACACGTCACTATTGAAAAACACCGCTTTTGGATAGAGTTTCTACTGTGAAACGGAGATAGAGCGGTTGCAATCAATCGGACAATCACGACGCCTCCCGGGGCGTGTTCTCAGCCTTCTTGGGCGTCGTCTGAATAGTGGAGGAACACGACTCAATGGTGGGATGGCTTGAGACAGTGGTGCTGTGAACTGCAAACAGATGTTGCTCATATGTTTCATCAGTAGAATACTCCGTTACACTATGACTCATCGCGGTCAAGCTGCGATGCATCTCCTACCAGTTGGTAGTATGAAAACATATGTAGCTAATAAACCAAGTAGTAGATTTCGATACTGCCTCCGCAGGCCGCAGACCTACCAATAGTCTGACAGTATTAGTGACAATGCGAGGAGATTAACGATTTCGGTGCGACTTTTGCCCCGTATGTGAAGTCAAATTAAGCTGAAAATCCGAGCACTGTACACCTGCTTCATCCTTATTGGGGGATTCTCTGAGCACCACATTGTCGATGCTGATTGGATGTAAATCCCATATCGCCCTCCCCGCCACTCCTGGCCGAACGGTTAAGTGATCAAGACGCCGCGAGCCCACAACTTCCTACTTGGGTTCCGTGAGGTCGACGCCGCGAGCTCACAACTTCCTACTTGGGTTCCGTGAGGTCCGCACTGGTGATGATTCCCAACAAAGACGGAACAGCTGTAGTGGTTTTCGGCTTTTGATTGACCTCAGTCGTGGGACGAAACCTCCACTAGCGTAGTATTAGACACACCTCGGTTGTTGCATAGCCTCGTTGCGCCCTCACGCAGTTGCGTGGGCCTTGCAAGCCAACTAGTAGGCACTAACGCAACGTCACCTATTTCGTCGTTTGGATTGATTGTTCTGGCTGAAAAGGATAGGCAAGCTGTAGACCGGCACTGGGCATGACCGCCTGGGCACAACTTGCCCAGTCTATTAACGGTCTGCTCACGTCTGGTTTCCGTGAGACATGATTTTAGATTCTCGGGATCCCTACAGTAGTAAGTGGAACTAGACTGGCGAATAAACACGTGCTAATGTGCAAACAAGCGCGAAGCATACTACTCATGTTTCACTATAAATAACAACCGTATCAGGTGAAATAAAACACGCTTCGTTATCAGCTTAAAAAACGAGTTTGATGTGGGTTGTGTAAAATTATAGAAATTTCATACTTAGCGAAACACACTCCTTGCATATCAATTTGATTTTGACGGGGGAGTCGCGTGGAAATCAGCTGAATCTCTGGTGCATGGTGCCTTCAGCAGCCTTGTGAGTAGTGTATTACGTCCATAAAATATATACCTGTTAGGCAGTAAAACTTTGGCCCCTTGGGATTTCAACGCTATGAATTCATGTTCCAAAGGGACCTCTGCGATAAGCCTTACTTAGGAAGTATTTCTTATAGTGATTGCCTATTGATCAGATGGTAGCAGTTGATCTGTTCGCTGAGCTTTGTAATTGGTTTACAAACGTTCCTTCACCAAACGGGTAGATATTACCAGTGCGAACACTTCTATTAGCTTCTGAAGAATACTCATTATCTCTTGACGTGATTCGCGAACTGGGAGACAGCTTTCTTGGGAGTTCAGTGATTGGTTCTTGACTTATGTTGCATTGCGATCTCCCATCTTTCTTCATTGTTATGGTATTGACGCGCCAGTAAGTAGTACTGGTATATTTGCTGTCAATGATGATGATTATGGTTCTAATGACCTTGTGACTTAGTTACTGCGTCCAGACTGTTGATCAGGTGGTGGAAGTTGATCTGTTCGCTGAGCCTGACAATTGACTTGCAAACGTTTCGGAACATGTAAGTAGACATCGCCAGTGCATGCACTTCTGGGGAAATATTACTGAAGCAGGCTAAGGGTAGCAAGATGTAACGGACAGTTTTTGAACTAAGAAAGCGTTCCACAGAACTGCCACTAGATGTGGACATCCTGAATACCAAATTTACGCATTATTACAAGTTAAGCTCATAACAAAAGACCGCCATCATCTTTTTGGTTGATCTAGGGTGTGTGCTACGTTGCTCGTCGGAGATGCATATCAATCCATCCGATGTCGGCCTGTAGTCAATCAAAAAAGATTGTACAAATCAACCGTACCAAGAAATTTGTGACAGTTTTTATGTCCTCAATTTTTCTCATTTTTCTGCAGCAGTTTCATGTTGATGTGAGAAGATTTGGTAATATTCCATAGATTTCATCCTGTCAGTAAAGCCAACCTATGCTGAAAGTCCGAGAAGCACCGTAGAGCCATTTCATCCTTGTTGGGAATGATCATATCAGGAAACTCAGAGTTTCGAACCCGCGACCTTCCGGCGGGTTCATTGCCTCGGATCCGTGATCCATCTATATAGATGCGAACATGTTTTCTCACTGCTTTATCTGTTTAGTGAGTTGATGCTACCGGGACTCATCAGCCTTATTTCTTAGTGGAATCAATCTCATGATCCGAATCGCAGAGGATGCATGGTGTTTTTGTTAAGAACATTAGGTCAGATGTGCGGTCATATCCCAACGCAACGGTCACAGTAGCACGGGCTGTTAACTGGGAATGTTATCCGTCAGTTACGAGGATGTTACTATGTTTTTCGAAACCAAAACCCTCTGCTCTGGTCTTGATTTTTAACCAAACCTGTGGAGGATTTGTTCGTCAACAACTGCAGTCGACAACACCACACACAGGCACAGAATGTGCGGGCAAATTCATGCTTCTCCACATCCTCATCCAAAGCGATGTTTCCCCAATACCGTGGCTTTTGCGTGGACCTTGGTGCATTCCAATGATCGAGAAAGAACGTGGAAGTAGACCGGAAACGATTTGCATGTTAAACGCCCGCAGGCTTCATTGTTAGATTTCTCCTCATCTTTCTCCCGCTCACACACACACACACATACTAACGCCTTTGGTCGCGCGAGATAAATATAGTCGTGCGTGTATATGCGCCGGTTTGAAATGATAAGAGGAGCAGAAATCAATATTATGATTGAAGACGTCAGAAATAGTCGGGCGCGTCAAGAGGAAGCTAGTCTGGCGCAATCACATGACACCAGATAAATTCGATCGCATCAGAGGGCTTAGATAAGACTGGAACCAATGACGGTTAGATTCCGACTTCTCCAAGCTCGTATGCACTGTGTATTTGCATGAGGGCACCCAGGTCTGTCAGGTGGGATAAAAAAACAGACAACTATAGCAGAATTGTTCAGAATGCATCAATCGTTCGCCACCAGGAGCACCACACTGTCGTCAAGGGCTTTGTCCGCATTAGTCTGATTGGTTACATGGATCGCCACAACGCTGCGGTAATCCCGCAGAAAAGCGTTCAGCTCTAGCACTCTTCCGGTGTCTATCTGTTATGCCACCCTAAGGAAGCACGAGGGCTGGGATACTTCCAGGCTGCCCAAGCCTAGACAGGGGAAGTCGAGAGGCAGAGGTGGGATTCGAACCACGGACCTTCCGGTCAGTAATTTCGCGCTCTTACCACTTGGGTCATCTCGCCTCGGTAAAAGAAATAGTGGCGAAATAATTTGGTATGTGCGTCTGATGAACTCAGGGCCCCACCTGAAGAGCTTATTTTTAAGGTCAGAACTTTTGGTCCAATAGAGTGGCTTGATTCCAAATGCTGCCTGCGGATAATTTAATCAGCACCAGGTGATACAACCACCGACGACATAGAAGCATGTATAAGTTTTCAGCTGTTACAGTTCGGAGATATCTGCCACCTGGCACACCGAGCTGTCTGGACTAGGATCAACTTCAAACGAAGTCGATGAAGTCTGTCTGGATTGATTTCAAAAGTTTGACACATATCGCTCACATGCTGTCTTGATTTTTACGATATATACTTGATTATTCCTGTACGGTTGATGCAGATGCAATGAAGCACGCCGCTGAGTACAAGGCATTCGAACAAACCAAACCGGTCCTCAGGGGATGTGAGAAACTCAAACGAACTAAGCGCAAATCTTTGTTGAATTTATTTAAACGAGTGAACAAGATATGGGCTTGAACCCAGTCACTTGTATAAAGGGCAGTCTGGAATGTTGCGAAGCCAAAACTCATCTAAATTCATTTCTTGGCATCGATAAAATTCGCAAAACCAAGTGTCATATGGACAGTTTGACTAGACCAAGCTTATTACAAGAGACCAGAGGGAAAAAATTGAACACGGTAGGACCGTCGCATCTACTTGGACGAATATTCCAAAATTATTTAGAAACACCAAAGCCAGACCGAATCACGCAAGCACTAGAGGGAGACTAAACCACATCTGGAGACAGTATCACCTACTGACTTACACTAGCGAAGACGCATTACAAATAGAAAGAAAGAAAGCGTTCAGCAAGAAAGCAGCAGAAACGTGAGTTTCCCATGCTCAAAATGTGACCATCGGCCTGAAACTCACTGCAAGAGCCGAACACTTATTACGCTATGGAGGCCTGAGCAGCAGACTTGGACGAATATTCCAAAATTATTTAGAAACACCAAAGCCAGACCGAATCACGCAAGCACTAGAGGGAGACTAAACCACATCTGGAGACAGTATCACCTACTGACTTACACTAGCGAAGACGCATTACAAATATGATGAGATTAGTGTGAAAGCTGATGAGAACGCGCACATGGAAATAGCCGAATTTCTTAAGTATCCCTCGAGCACCAACTTTTACAGTAACAGAAAATCGAGCTGCGATCCTTAAGCTAATTTTCCCGTTTCTCATGTAACACGGAGTAGTCTATTACAAGAAAGCAGCAGAAACGTGAGTTTCCCATGCTCAAAATGTGACCATCGGCCTGAAACTCACTGCAAGAGCCGAACACTTATTACGCTATGGAGGCCTGAGCAGCAGTAGTTAGCTTGCACTCAGTAGAATACAACGCTACTCGATCCAATGGTTCGGGCGAATATCACCCGTACCCCAAAGAAATACCGTCTGATACTGTCTTCGGCAAAAGTGCGAGTAATTCACCTCTAAAACCCGTCTATAATTCTGGTTCGCCTGGTTTACGGGCACCAGACAGTTGTGTTTTCGTACTCTTTATCTGCGTGTTGCACCCGACTGCATTTTCAGGATGGAGACCGACTCACCTTACCGTCTCTATCAAGAATCCCCCGATCGACCGTGCAAGACAGCACGCGATACGCATTGGGTGATAAACAATAGCGCTTTAAAAAATCGTTCAGTTGCGGCACCCTTTCGGTGCTTAACTGACATGCCACCCAAAGGAAGCACAAGGGCTGGGATAATGACAGCCCCCCCCCCCCCCACCCCCGCGGAGGTCTGGTTCGAACCACGGACCTTCCGGTCAGTTGATTCGCGCTCGTCCCCCCCCCCCTAGCACTTATACTATTTATGAAGGACATCGTAGTCGGCAAAAAGCTTATCCAAGTTTACATTGGTTCTGGTTACAGCTGAAAAACCCGCTAAGAAAACAAGATTTATATCTTCTTTTCCGCAACCATGCCTACTGGCCGCATATACACCTGAACAACTATTTCCGCTGACGTTGTAACATGTGTTCTAAGATACTATAAGCCCACGTGCTCATCATTATTAAATAATAATCGTTCATCTGTAACACCTTTTCGAAGCCTAGCTGCTGCGCCATCCGAAAGGAAGCACGAAGGCTGGGATACTGCCGGGTCGCCCAAGCCTAGGCAGGAGAAGTCGAGAGGCAGAGGTCGGGTTCGAACCACGAACCTTCCGGTCAGTAAATTCGCGCTCTAACAAATTGGGCCATCTTGCCCCGTGATCATTCATAACGGATGGGTATGACCGAAGAGTCCAGATTGAGGTAGGGAATTGGATGGAGATCGGCGAGTTGGGATGTGTTAAGGAACGGGTTGTGCTTCACATCTGACGGGATGGTAGTAAGCCGGAAGACGAGAAGGGAGGGCGTGGCAACACGGTGTTCCAAATGAATCACTACCAGCTTCTCTTTCACAGACGCTTCGTGCAAGTTGCTCTTAGCTGGCAGTGAATAGTGTTACGCCCACACCATGCAGCTCGGTTTTAAGCCACCTGGTTTGTTTTCCACCATAGCCTGATAATACAAATACGCCCGCTGGAATGCGCACAAAATCGACCGTAGAAAACATTCCACAGTTGTCCGCTTCCGATCCAACAAGAGGGCATTTAGTGTGACCATGTGAGGGTCACTGCCACCGATTACGGTTACCTGGATCCAAACCACATGCACGAGAAATGTGATAGATTAGACTGCAACAGCTATTCGTCAAATTGATGAAGGTGTAGGACACGAATCGATAAGAACGAATAAGAGACTAGGTAGGTCTGAAGATGTGACTCGAAGTATAGTCCAGCTCCACTGATGATAGTATTAAAACAACGGAGATATGATAACCTGTATGCTCTGACGAAGTATCCCAAAATAGTCTAGAGAAGGGTGTTTGATGACAAGATCTAATTCACTTACGTGATTAGTGAGTTGGGATGATAGTGCAGTGTGGCGCGGCGAGCTAAAGAATTACCGATAGAAAAGCAAATGAATACAGTACTCGGAAATTTGAAAACTCTTCGAAAGCCCACAACGGGTTCTACCCTTTCTGAGGTTTATCAAAGAGGCAGTCTCCGAATTTCCATCGGCCTTATCTTCCACCAAATTACATGCATGTAATTAATTAAATACACTCAGTTGGGTGTCTCATTAACGTCAATGTTATATGCAACTGGAGGCACTTTGCCATCGGAATACAAATTGGTGTTCCAACAGAAGAAAAACCCAGAAACCATGGGACTGTGCTTAACTGATACGTCCCAAGATGATCGAAACTGAAAGCGAGTTGTCTGAGGGTTTTCAGCGACTTTGTGAGCAGCATATTCTGCGATGTCTCGAATACCAACACAACCGACACATTAGGCAGCCTTTGTGCCGCATATTCACTTTACCAATACCATAGATGAGAGATTAAGTTGAGTCTCCTATTAAAACAAAATTATTGTTGTCCTCCAACCTAAGAACAATGTTCAGTCAGTCCCTTTCATATTGGTGACGGAGCAGCAGCAAGGGGTGGGGGGTTCCCCGTATCTCATTGGTCTTACGAAAGTGATGTAGAACGAGATGAGCAATCACCGCCTGCGTATCGAACGATTACGACTTATCCAGCATGCAGCGAAACAGTCAGACGAAGCGAACAAAACGTTAACGTTGAACTGAAACTGAATAACAAGTCAATGATGTAACAGCAGAGTAGGTGTGTATTCTAAGAATTCACAAGCGGAAGTTGAGAACCGGATCGGGGTTATACCCCAGGCCCAGGAAAAACAAAACCGTTAAAAACAAGGGAGTGGATCAAAAGTAAAAAACGTGTTCAAATCAAGCCGGTAGCAACCTTTGATGACAGAGGTGTTGGACCCAGGGGTCTGCGGTTGCTATTCCATCCACCCAATGTACCGGGTACATGCTCAGCGATTGCCACATCAATGAAGTCTCCGATCTGAAAATGAGGAAGTGAACAGATGAGTGGCAAAGAATGATCTAAGTTACCCAAACTCGGCAAGGTTGACAAAACTCTACCGTCAAAGTGTGGTCACACAGCACAGAAAGAGAACACACGCAAAAAGCGAGGGGTCCTGTACTGGATGATTTGATTGAATAAATTATAACATGGTGAATGCGGCCCGGAATGTCAAGAAGGAAAATAGTGTGTATCATGTGAATAAAAAAAACAATGCGAAAATAGGCCGCGAACGAAAGCGGTTACCGGAATTCGGGCACATTGAGGTTTTCTGTTTAGTTGTGTGAAAGCTAGGAGCAACACACAGTAATAAACCCAACTTTTGGATATCATATACACAAAGCGCTTTTTCTTGGACAGAACAGTCATCAGAGTAAATGACTAACAGGTAGCGTGACCCTCGGGCGCTACTGGTGCCTGCTGTAAGGGAGCTACTGCAAAAAGAAACTACTGACAAGTAACGAGTACGCAAAGTTACAAACAAATCTACGGAGGTTGAGGAAGGCGAGTCTGAGACTGGTGGCAGGCTTGGACAGAGACTGACTAGGAAGGCCTGACAGGCGGGCCAATCGACCGACACAACCAGGACGGTTACTCGAGTCCAGTGGTTCCCCGCTATGGTGTGAACTCACCAGGACAGGAAGACGACTGTTTAAACGAAAGTGATGCGACCGTGAATATAAGAAATATATAGGGAACTGAAACTGCCGTACACGTACTGAATACAGGCACCTCTGTGAGTGTAAGATCGCATCCTTAATAGCCTATCCTCGCCAAGAGAACAAAACAAGACTGCACAATATATTTGACTTTACCTTATTCCAGCAAACCCCCTGAACTTAGGATGGCAGAACCCTATTTTCTCGAAAAAATAGCAATGAGCGAAGATCAGGAATTGATATGGTCCTGTAATGACATCACTGAAAATTGCACCACGAGGGGCAAGACGCAGGAATCCTTTTCACGTAGTTCACCATATAACAACTGCTTGTTGGTCATGAATTTCTAAGTCGCCTAGCGTTCATACCTTATTTTCCTGAACACTTGCTAAAAAGTCAGTTTTCTAGGGCATGAAGCGTAGCAAAACAACAAGAAGTGTATGTAGGGTCAATTTTCAGAGACTACTGAGCAGTCTGAGCGTGAAAGAAAAGAAAGCATTCAGCTGTAGCACCCTTCCGGTGCCCAGCTGTCATGCCACCCGAAGGAAGCACGAGGGCTGGGATACTGCCAGGTTGCCCAAGCCTAGACAGGGGAAGTCGAGTGGCGGAGGTCGGATTCGAACCACGGACATTCTGGTCAGTAAATCGCGCTCTAACCACTTGGGCCATCTCGCCCCCAGTCTGAGCGTTCGTGACACCAGCGGTTGGTGGTAGTTTGTAGATTCGTTTCATCCCAAACTAGTTCGCATATTCGAACGGGCGTCACGCTGATTGTAGCAGGGTGTTTGATGACCGCTAATCGACCGGTTTCTAAAAACAGCGGTATAGGTATTTGAATGTCAAATGGCCTGGCGTTCATACTGGGTGCGAGATACTCGCCAACAGCTGGTATTACAGTTAGCCGGGAGAAAGTCGCATGTTTCATCAGACATAGTCAAGTGAGTGTGGAAAGGAAAGCGTTCAGCTGTAGCACCCTTCCGGTGCCTAGTTGCCATGCCATCAGAAAGAAGCACGTGGACTGGTTGCCCAAGTCTGGACAGGGGAAGTCGAGAGGCAGAAGTTGGGTTCGAATCACGGACCTTCCGCTCAGTAAATTCGCACTCTAACCACTGAGCCACCTCAATCCCTAGGAGAGTTGATGTATCTTTGTCACAAAGACCATCGTTTTAACATTATTAGTGACATAACGATGAAAAGTCTTATTATTGGAGTCTATAGCAGCACACTCGACTAAGAAATATCATTTTCATCTTAATTTGCCAACACACCCGATTTGGAATTCACATACTAAGCAGAACTTATGGAAATCCGGTGACTACCAGCTGAGCTTCAAACGTGAAACCGGGTAATGGACCGTCTTCACCAAATCGATCAGCAATATTTTAGCGCTCACTTGAATATCGATCCGACTGAGATAGTTTTTGTACAACACATTCAACTGAAAAATTACATAGATAACAGAGTTATTTGACTCCCCCGCTAACTTCATCCTAATTTGCGAATGAATGGCCAATTAGAACGTTTGAGACCACTCCGAAATGTTGTCACACATCGGCCGAACCGCTTCTACTTTGTCCGTATCTAATTACGACCGTTAAACGAAATCGCTCAGTTGTAGCACCCTTTCGGTGCCTAGCTGCCATACCACCCGAAGGTTGCACGAGGGCTGGAATACTGCCAGGTTGCCCAAGCCTAGACAGGGGAAGTCGAGAGTCAGAGGTTGGACGAAGCCGATAACGAAAGGTTGCACGGTAGCCACAGCTGAACTTTGAAAACAGGATCAATGACATCAACGCCATTGCTAAGATAGATCCGGCATTACAATAAAGGCATGATTATGGAGCCTGCGTGGCATAAGACGGTATAACGAAGAATACCATAGAAACCGTTACTGATAGTGCGAAGGCGATGAACACTGTGTGGGAGCCGTTATGAGTGGTGGTATGAGGAATCTATGCTGTAACAGACGAGGTATCTTAATGGCGATCCCCACAAGTACATAGCCCGTCACCGTGCGTGTTCGTTCAGCATTTATTGACAAGGCGTGAAATCCGCAAGTCTGTGAGTGTCCATGTGCAAATCGGATGGCGGTAGATGTTCAGTACAGCTCCTTCCGAGCACCACTGATGCTCCATTCAGAGGCCGCAGCCGTTACGCTGGTCATCGTAGACAGTAAAATCCGTGGTGCCACTGAAACGCCTTTGGTGAGATGGCTCAAGTGGTTAAAGCGCAAATTAAAGCAGTTACGCTGGTCATCGCAGACAGTAAAATCCGTGGTACCACTGAAACGCCTTTGGCGAGATGCCTCAAGTGGTTAAAGCGCAAATGCACTAAATGGAGGGTCCGTGGTTCCAACCCGACCTCTGGCTCCCGACTTCCCCTGTCTAGGCTTGGGCAACCTGGCAGTATCCCAGCCCCCGTGAAACCTTCGGGTGGCATTGCAGTTAGGCACCGAAAGGGTGCTACAGCTGAAGGATTCTTTTACTTCAAAAAGGTTCGTAAAATGTTTGGTTGGCCCCGCCCAGGTTGTCATCGCTCGACCCCATCACTGATCCTTGGCTTGCTTTCTACGCGCCAGCTTACAGCAAGATGCACGGTAGCTGGCAACGGCACTTGATGCGACAAAGCGATACCATCAAAATTGTTTTTACACAACAAACGACAAAATTATCCATAAAATCACACTAGAGATATCTCATCGGGGCTAAAAGACTTGAATTTGATTTGTTGCTTTTTTTTACCAACGAAAAGCGGTCATCACTCGATGCAGTTCGGCAACTCTGGGCAAACTGCCTCCGAACAACTGGACAGACTACTATTGGCAAGCAAAACCAACTTGTCAAACGGAGAACAGAACACGCCCGGTGGAAGCACTATGAGTGATAGAAGGTCAGCATTTGAGGGGAACTCCAAGAAAACGAGTGATTTCCGGGTTAGATATAAACTACAAACATCACTGACAATCGTGGTGAAGAATTTGGAAAGCGAAGGTCGGCCGAATGAAGTGAGAGACCGAAATGCGTACATAACCAAAACCAGCTGGTGACTACTTACATGAAACCGTTTGGATAGCAGAGTTCTTGAGGAATCATCTGCCAAGTGAAACGGTCGTTTTGTATTATTTGAGGCATCCGGAGGATTTTCAGTGGGATCCACGGGGCTGATGAATCCTGAAATGACCACACCCAATTCGCGACGACGGTAGGTGCCATGCTGATCAGGATAGATGGCTGCAAAGTGTAGACGAGTTCCACGCTTCCTAGCCATCGGACAAGCATCACGAACCTCTTCTGCCAATTCGCGCAACGAACAATCAATCCTGGGAAGTAGTGAGGAAAAAAGAAAAGTCCGAGAAGGAAACGCGACATGAGATTGTGTGAACATGGTTCTTTTGGTAAGTAGACCTACCATGTATTTATCTGAAGTTCATTTTCCGGGAACCGGCCCCTGTCGTACTTGGACAGCGAATGATGCTTTCCGTTGGTGGAGTAGGACAAGCGAATGAGGATCGGACAGGTCTCTTTGCGGTTGATGGTTGATGAAGACGCGTGCCGTGAGGAACGCGACTCCGAGGGATGTGTGGATTTGCGCTTAGATTTGCCCTCTTCGAGCCTCTTATCTCGGCGTTCACGTCTCCAGTTTTCTGGTGACACATCTCGACCCTCGGCTCGTACCAACACGCGGCGTGTTTCATCACCCAGGCCATGTTCCAGATTGGTAGGGTCATTGGGCCGGCTGGCCAAATGCACGATGGAGGCGACCAAGGGAGATCGACTCCGACTACGGCTCACTCGGTCGGAGTGATCAGTAGGAGCAGGTCGCCGCGTGCTTGAATCCGCAGTGGGCAACGAGGGCGGATGTAGACGCGATAGCGGAGATACTGGACGAACCAAGCTGCGCAGAGTACTGCTGCGCCCCACACCGTTCTCCATTTTTGCTGTATTGCTAGAGGAGAGACGACATCGAATAAAATCCAAGGAAAAGTTGAACTACCGGAAAGACATTAGTAGTGAAAAAATAAGTAGTCCATAACGCAAGGTAGATAATTCAGTGGAACTATATTTGCGCTCGTTTGTGCAGCTATCGCTCTACCCTGAGGCAGACTGTTTTTATTGCGCATCTGGTTTCTAATCGTCCGCAGAAATATGTGACCAAAATAAGTGATGTACCAGATGAGATCAAACCAAACTCAACAAGTAGAGCTCCGTACATTAACGTTCACAGCTAGATAAATTTGGATTCTACAAACTGTCACAATGCTTGAGAAGAGTACATGCGTTTGCTTGTTTGTGATAAGGACAAGAAATCAACTTCCTCAAACATTCCGGGGATTCGTCAGTGGTGATTTGTGGCAGCATTGCAGGTTTTTAATCGCGACCACAACAGTAGAAGTATTAGGATTGGTCCCACGAGGATCGCACTGCAAATCCTCAAGCCCAGAAGTAGCAAGAAGTCGAAAGATACACGGGAACTGACAAGTCGCGTATTATCAAGTTGTGGTAGAAAATAACGTCAAAAAGACCAGTCCTAAAAGTCAGTGCCCACAAAAACAAACAAACTCTAAATTGAAGTGTGCTTTAGGAGCACAGATGCCGTGAAACTTGGAGGAAGTAGGGAGGCTCAGACGCTGCCAGGTTGCCCAAGCCTAAACAGCAACAGTTGAGATGCCGGGGTGGGGTTCGAACCTTAAGCACTGAGCTACATGAAGCTCAAAAACAGGTGACCGGAACGGCATAAGGAAATACATTGCATAGGTCAGTATAACACTAAGAATGCAGACAAGTTAATAAGTGCCCCGTTACTACGCTAACAAATATAACTGATCGGAGATTGCGCGGACCTACACGGCTCGGCAGCCGATTCATCACTGTTATCCAATCAAACTCGCGAGACTCTGAGCTCAGATGTAACATTGAAAAAGTCCTTTGAAGGGCGCAATTTACATGAACATACTGTTTAGAGTGGCCGAGAGGATTCCACACTAACATTTAAAGAGAACAAAGCTAAGCAAACAAGCGTAAACACTGCAATGTCCGTTGACCATCTTAGGGAGAAACCAAAAACTGAGCCATAAGAAAACAAACGAGGCCTCCTCAAGTGTACGGATGCACCAGCGATATATCTTGTGTCCAATCTGGACAAAAGTTCCAAACATTTTCCTGTTTCCTATACTGCTACATACCCCAGTAAACAAAAGGAAGGAAGCTTTCTTGAAAAACAATTCAATTCATCAGCTATAAACCGTATACCATAGGCCCATTAGCTTCAGCTACTATAGTTTCGATCACCTCAAAGTGTGAGACTGTGGGACTTAGATCCAAGCATTGGAAGCGATGCAGCTATAAACGTATACCATAGGCCCATTAGCTTCAGCTACTATAGTTTCAATCACCTCAAAGTGTGAGACTGTGGGACTTAGATCCAAGCATTGGAAACGATGGCCTCCAACTATCTGCTCACCGGCCTCCACCACAACCCCTCTCCAACTGTGGAATGATGCAGTACCATCAACCTAAAGAATAATGGGCCAGATTATCCGATTGCACTAATCAAAGAAAGATAACATGAGAGAACTTGAAGTACACAAAAACAAATTTCCAATAATGTTCTCCGTTCGCAACCGAAGCGAAATCCAACTCATTACTTAGCCTCAAGGGCTGGCAGAATATGTTCCGCTGCTAAATCGAAATATGAATTTGCCGTATTCAGTCGGTTTACTTTGGGTAAATTACAGAATGAGGCTAGGCGAACGGTGACGGATGAAACCGGACCTAAGCAACTCTTTGTGATGTCCCCCATCAAAAGTGACTTGACAGCTGAATGTTAACTAAACGCCGGCCACAACTCTAACAAACTTTAATACTGGAAACAGTACAAACAAGATATTCAGCTGGATTCCGGATGAGTCTCTCGAAAAACCAAATGAGTGTAGTTCGCCAGTTTTGTACAATTTGGTTCCAAGTAGAACATAAGGTTGACGGAA